TGAAAGGGATTGGAAACGGAAGCGTGGGCGTGGGCAAACCTCCATTCATTTGTATTGTTGTTAATCTCCTAGGGGCTTACCTCTGGTTGTAGCAGAATCTAATGAGGGTTCCGTTTCTCTTCTGTCCACTGTCCGAGGAGGCACACTACATATTGTAGTGTGCCTTAATTGGGTTCAGCCACCATAAATCCTGACAATTGGCCGTTAGAGGGGAGAGGAGGTAAAGCCGAGCTTTGACATGATTTGCCTTGGCAAGGCATCAGATAGGGCCTAAGCCATCAAACAACAAGGCCACAAATGGTGGGACCTGGAGATACCCTTTGTCTAGCTAGTCGAGCAAGGGTACACCATTGAATGTTGATGTGGTTACTATCTTAGTAAAGCAAGGCTATTCAATGTTATGCAATTACATAAAATCTCTCCTCCCCTCTTTAGGCATAAATTGTCAAGGAGGTGGCATTCCCCTTTCACACTAGAGAATTACCTCTAGTGGAGATAAGAGACAAACAGACATATAACCAAAAAAAAAAAACATCCTGGCCTTGGCCTGGAGAGACCAAGTGAGTTATCGCGCTGCCCCTGCCAGCAATGAGAAAATAAAGCTATAATAATGGGAGTGGTGGGTGGGGGAAAGTGAGGAGCTAGCGACTGCTACTTCTTTTTCAAATCTAGCGATCGACTGAAGTAGAGCCTTCGTACCCCCGTTAATATACGCAGTAATGCGCATGCGCAGATGAGCTTGGTGGGGAGCCCCTTGAGATTAACTTTGTCTAACCCTACTGTTTAAACTCCAATTAATCTCCTAGGGGCTTACCTCTGGTTGTAGCAGAATCTAATGAGGGTTCCGTTTCTCTTCTGTCCACTGTCCGAGGAGGCACACTACATATTGTAGTGTGCCTTAATTGGGTTCAGCCACCATAAATCCTGACAATTGGCCGTTAGAGGGGAGAGGAGGTAAAGCCGAGCTTTGACATGATTTGCCTTGGCAAGGCATCAGATAGGGCCTAAGCCATCAAACAACAAGGCCACAAATGGTGGGACCTGGAGATACCCTTTGTCTAGCTAGTCGAGCAAGGGTACACCATTGAATGTTGATGTGGTTACTATCTTAGTAAAGCAAGGCTATTCAATGTTATGCAATTACATAAAATCTCTCCTCCCCTCTTTAGGCATAAATTGTCAAGGAGGTGGCATTCCCCAAGGTGTTTCCAAAGGAGTTAATTAAAGAGGGATATGGATTGGACATCTGAGCCGTCGGGACAGTCATTCATATCTCTGTTTTTTTTGTTTTTTTTTTTTTTTTAACTTATTGTGAGCAACCAAAGTGCTTGTGAATAATCTTCTGACTATATATATTAATAAAATAATATACATGACATTGCTATTTGCTAATGATAACATAACGGTAGTCACTAGATAAATGAAAGGTTAAATAATAA